ACTTTGGAACCTGGATGGTGGTTCATGGCTGTGTACTATAATTTGAATGTTGCATGGCCCCCAAAGTCTCACATAGTAAAGGTTTGATCCCAGTGGAAATGGTGGGAGCTTTTAGGAGGTGAGATCTAGTGGGAGGTTCCTAGGTCACTGTGTGTGCCCTCAAAGGGGATTGTGGGACCCTGGTCTCTTCCTCGTCCTCTTTGCTTCTTGACTGGTAAGGTAAGTTATGTTCTCTGCCAATCCTCTCACCATGATGTGCTGCCTATCCACAGGCCCAGAGGATGGAGTGACTCAATCATGGACTAGAACCTACCTCTGAAACTGAGCCCAAACAAATCTTTTCTCTTTATAAGTTAAGTGCTTCTGATATTTAGTTATAGTGATAGAAAGCTAACACAGTATGTTTGTTTTGTCGCAATTCAGTGAGATGTACACTTAGCAAAATATGGAATTTTTTGTGACTATGTTATACTTGATTAAAAAAAAAGTTAAGAGAAAAAGGGTAACAAATGGGTCTGTTTAAGCTATTGGCAAACTCCCTCTACAGATGTGATTTTTGCACTAGCTTCCTATGGAGACACTTATTCGTGCCCAATAATGTAATCATGTTCTGTTTTTGCTTGCTTTTTCATTCTCAAGGCAATGGGTGACTGATTTTTGGTGTATGAATTGATTTTAAAAAACTTAATCATTGCATATTTGTTGTAAAACACTGGAAATTTTATATAACCCTTTTTCAGATAAACCCAGATTTTTTTGATGGATGCCAAATGATGACAGATGTGGAATGTTATTCCCTAAGAAGAATGAGGAGAGAGGAAACTTTTTTTTCTGCCCAGACAATGGGGTTTAAACATGTCAGCATATCGTTTGACTCACCTGCTCTCAGCTTCCAAGTGTTTTCTACCATATTTAGAGTAAAACCCGAATCCCTTTCCTCAGCTTCCATGAGGCCTTGTAAGTTTCAGCCCCCAGTGATCTACCATGCTTCCATTTCAGGGCATTACACTCCTGTTCTCTTTGTCTAGAGTGAAGCTCTTCCACAAGGTGTTCACCCAGCTATGCAGCTGGCTGCCTTCATTGRTTGAGTGAATAAATGGATTAATGTGGATTCGCTATATACGTTTCAGGGAAAAAGAAAAAAAGAAAAAAAATATTCAAAGAGCTTTATGCCTCTCCCTATATTATTCCAAGAAGAAGAATCATGCTCAAAGCTCAGACTCTTCATGCCTTTGTTATTGTTAGATTAACTTTTTTAAAAAAGTCTTATTTATTTCGTTTTTAGGTTTTAGCAAAATTGAGCAGAAGGTACATACTCTTTCCGAACCCACCCCAGGCACGGACTCTCTTACTGTCAACATCAGAGTGGTCTGTTTTACTTTATTATTATTTTTAATTATTATTATTATTATTATTTTAAATTTTTACTATTATTATTTTTTAATTTAAAAACTGATAAACCTACATTGTCAAATCATAATTACCCAGGGGCCATGGTTTGCATTTAGGTTAACCCTTGGTGTTGTACCTTCAAAGGGTTCGGACAAATGTATAATAACATGTGGGTAACTGTTTCATAACACAGATTTTACAGGTTTGTAGAAGAAAACTGAAGAAATGAAGATAGATATTAAGGGAATGATAGTTTCTGTTTCATAGGACAACCACCAGGAAAGARCCTGCTACCTAGTGACCAGACCAGGGTTCATGGATGGTATCTCATCCCTGAAAAACCCAGGGTGAAGTGGGGTTCAGGGAGAGCCCAAGATCCAACTGGATGAACAGTGAGACGAAGCCATGGCAGCCTAACACTAAGTCTGACTGGAAGCTGGCCCTGGCTTACATGTTTTGTACACTTTGACACATGTACTTACTGTAGCAACCTAGGGAGGCACAGAGGGGCAAAGTCGGGCAGGAAGAGCTTCAATTCACATGGCTAGCTGGCATTTCCACTCAGACAGGCTACCCTAAGTTTCACACATTATTAACTTTCAGAAGGACCCAAGCTTGGCATGGGATTGGGAAGTCCAAGAAAGTGGAAATGAGGGGAAGAAAGCCCCAGCAGTAGGGAATGTGCAGAATGGAGTAGCAGCGCCCTCTGCAGGTAGTGAGGATCCCCATTCCTCTGGGTCCACATAATTTTCTCAGGAACCTGAAGTCACCAGTAGTTTTTGGATTCATTTTACGGTATCCTAGTCCTAGGGGAATCATGACGTTTTTGCTGAGCACACAGTACTACAGTCAGATCCCTGTTATCTGCATTGAAAATAGCATCCCCAGGGGACCTTAGGCAACCGCTTATTGGAATTTRAATAGGAAATTCTTGAAAACATCAAAGCCTTTAAAAGTTATGCAAAATTCTAAGGATGAAATTTCAGATTGGAGAACAGCTCAGAAGATATTTGGAAAAGAAAGGAGGCCTATAGAACACCCTCAATTCACCTTTTGTGGAAAACCACCCATACTTTAAGGACTGTTCTGGGCCAGGGATCCTGGGCCCTGGGATGATTCACCTGGGTTCACAGCCTGGTAATCTAGGTGTGAAAAAAAAAGGAGGTCTCTCTCCCAATTGTCATTTTCTGTTTTTTTTTTTTTCTCACTTCCTGGTCCCTATCCTTGGTCCCTTCCTTATGTGAACAATTTTGGAACAATCTAGTAATCCTCTAGGCTCCTGGTTCTGTACCAGGTGTGAGGGGATTAGAGAGTGTGACATTTCGCACCCCTGACATTGTGCAGCGCTGGGCAGAGGCCACAAGTGGTGAAATGAGCTGCATCCAGCTGTCCATTTACCATCCTGGTATTTTAACCTGGTTGCCCCAAAACAAAAAGGAAGAGCTTAAACAACTGTGCTTGCTTTGAAAAAGCAAATGTGCAATGGTTAAGCTTTTTAAAATCAATTCATACACCAAAAATCAGTCACCCATTGCCTATGACCTTATGTTATTTTCTGAAATGTATTGCATAAGATATTTGTGTATGCACATTATATTTCTGTAACATAACTATATTACCTTCTCAGGAAGCCACAGGGCCTTTTCYCTTCACTCATTGGATAGTGTAGACTGGATTCCTGCATGCAAATTTTGGGAATCATTTGCTCCAGGGGAGACAATTTAGTAACTTTTAAAAAAATTCTCAAAATGATAACTCCCACACCTCTCAACTCTGATCTGAAGATGTGTTTGACTCACATTGTTTTCAGCAGAATGAATTACCAACATTAAAAATCTTGGGATATTATCTTAAAAATCTAGATTTCAGGTTTCTTTGGAAAAGTCTGGCAATACTGAGCTGGCATGTCCAAGAGAAACCATTGGCTAGGGCTCAATAGAAACYCAGTATCTGCAATCTCACATGCTCCAATCACTATTTCCCCTGAAATGGATTTTTTTATATTTATTTTTTGATTGTAGTTGGACACAATACCTTTATTTCACTTATTTTATTTTTGTGTGGTGCTGAGGATCAAACCCAGGATCCCGCACATGTGAGGCGATTGCTCTGCCTCTGAGCCACAACCCCAGCCCCCTGAAATGGATTTTTAGGGTCAGCCACACTTGCTTCCTGACCTGCTTCACTTCCGTTACGCACATCTCTAGTTGTAAAGGAGGAGAGTTTTCAAACTCCTGAAAGAAACGTTAAGTTTGCCAAGGATCGGGAAGGTAGGTGTGGTAGTGGTCCATGAAGGTGGGGACCTGTGACCTTATGCACTGACTGGTCAGGAGGAAATGAGTCTTCTAATGTGGATGTCCCCAAAGCCCTGGCAGGGGTGGACTTAGAGGATAGACTGTCCAASACAGTGGAGCTGTCTCATTAGAACAGACCCAGGTTTGGCTAATGGGTACCTTGTAGTCAACACTGTTGGACTGCAGACCATAGACTTACCCTCCACTTTCCTAAATCACTGAAGTCTAATATTTTGAACACAAGGGAAAGGGTAGGTGGGAGTCCTGGAAAAAATGACCTGGTGGCTAGGGACTGAGCTGCATATAGTTTCTATCAGGAAATAAAGAAATGTTACCTATCTGTGTCTGAATGTTGTCCTAAATGATTTTATTCATATGACATAATCACAAGCTCCTTATGTTTTGGGAATCTGCATTACATAAGTGTCACAATGCCGTCCCTGACTACCTGGTTGCCAAATTCATTCTTTCACCCAATTCATTCATTCATTCATTYRTTCATTCATCCATTCATCAGATATTAGAGAATCTAATAGAGTCATAGTGTAAGGGTGTACCATGATAAACAATTCATAGTTCCAAGTTCTTCAACTCTTGCTAGTGACATGGATAGGAGATAAGGAAATGGAGTGGAAAGGATACTGACTGCCAACAAGAAGACTGGAGGTTAATTCTATCTTTTAAGTGCTGAGCAACCTTGGGTCAAGTACTTAGTCCCTCTGGGCTTCACTTTCTTCGTGTGTAAAATAGGGCTAAATAATCTTTACATCTTATTTTATTTTAATGTATTGACTTACCCATGATTTCCCATATAAGGAATTAAATAAGAATGTTTTTGCAGCTTCAGTTAGAAGACAAGGAGGTCAGTGGCTGTTCTGTCAAAAGCAGGTTGTTGTACCGTCTCTGAGTCTAGGATTTACTGTGGAAGCCTGAACATGGATGAGGGCCTTGGAGAAGAAGAGACTTAGAAGAATATGGTGCAGTTGGGGTAATAGGTTTATTCGATCTATATACAAGGAAGCATTTATTGATATTTTGTCAAAAACAGGGAACAAAGTAACACACAATATTTTGGCGTGAAGACAAGAGAGCCACAAGAGACCAAGATGGAGCTTAAAGACTCTCAAAAGAACACAGACCCTGAACTGACAACTTTCAGGCTGTAGAGTTATCCAGACCACATAGTCAATTGTACAATGCAAGCGTCACATGACAAGAAAACACGATCAATGTTATCAATGAGGCAGTTTCTCACTGGGGGGGTGGGGTGGAGAGTGGATTGTGGGGGCCAGGGGTCACTGATGGGAAAGGGTATTAAAATCGCATAAATCCTCCATATCTTTTTTCCATCTCGGGAACTTCTTTGGAATAATTTTCTCCTTCCTCATCGGAGGGCAGAGACTCAGCAAAGCGCTTCAGGAAGCCCCCGTATCTCTTCTGGTAGTCCATCCACCACTCTGGGCGGCCCACTCTTCTCATGAAGCCCCCATATCTCTTCTGCAGCTCTTTGGCCTCGTCTTCCAGTTGGGGGCTTCTCTTGAGGCCCCTCATGAAGCCCCCATATCTCTTGCTCACGTCCTCATCATTGTCACTGCCATCCTGGGGGTGGCTCTCTCTCCCGCGGTTGTCACCTGTTCCCAGCAGCTCTTTCAGCAGGTCTGAGGAATTGGCCAGGGCGTCCCCTTCCTCTGCATCCTTCTTCATGAAGCCCCCGTACCTCTTGGCAAGGACTTCACCTCCATTGGCCTCTTCTTCGGGCTCCACGGGGTACAGTTCATCCATCTTCTTCATGAAGCCTCCGTACCTCTTCATGAACCCCCCATACTTTTTGGCGAGCACATGGCTCTCTTCCTGCTTGCTGCTCTCTCTGAGGGTGTTGGTGCCATCTTGAGGAAGCTCGGGCTTGGACATCTGCAGGAGTTCCTTGCAGGTTTCCCAGATTTTGAGAGAGGGCAGTTGTCCTTCACATTCCAGGGTGCAAGCCTGGGGAGACAAGTGGATGTGAGGATGAAATGAGGCTTCTCTGATTTCCATAAGTCCGCAAATTGGGGACCACAGTATGTTAACTTTGATGTAGAGATTCCCATGGAATAAGATCATCTCCATGTTCATATCCTAACTTTTTAATCACTCAACAGGAAAATGAAGCAAAGGAAAACCCGAAAAAGGAAAGTGGGGGAATTGACTAAATCAAATTAGAAATCTGTCTTTGGATATTAAATCCATTGCACATACTGTGCCATTCCAATATTCTAAAAGACCACCCTAACCGATTTTTAACTTAGAATGGTTGCCTTCACAATCTAATTCCACTGTATAATTTTCCCCTCATTTTGTTTGAAAAAAAAAWATATTTTTTTGACCAAAAGAGAGAAATTTCTTTTTACCTACTTAAGGATAGTCTCTTAAAATTCCTTTGATTTTATCTCACCGATAAAATCCTTATTGGTAAGGCTCATTGGCTTTCTTTTGTTAATATTTTGCAACAATGGTAGCCAATATTCCTGGAGACACTTTTGATCTTCAAATAGAAACAACAATTTCAAAATAAATTTTAACAGAAAGACATCCTGAACACATAATTTAARTCTTATGAATTATTTGAATCCTGATATATTGATTTGCTAAAAATACATTTTCCCTCGATCAGTTAAAACAAGTTTTATCATCTTGAACTGAATGCTAGCAATGATGAAATCAGCTATGAAGTTATACAGATACAAAGGCACAAATTAACAGTGTTCATTTTCTTAAATTGTGTCATTGGTGTAGAGTCAAAATCTTTTTCCACCTGAAAACATGTTATTCAATAAAATAGGAATGATCAGCATATAATTCTTTTCTTTTATTGTACAATCAATTCAAACCACTGTAAGATGAAGGCTATACGTTTTAATGTTCTTCAGATTTTTTTTCTATTCAACAGATTACTTGCATATGATGAAAGTAGAGTACTAATATTACAGGAATATTTATAAAATCTATAAGGTATTTCTTAGCATTTCAGGGATTTTTATATTTGCATCAGATCTACATACAGAACCCAGTTACAGTCACTTGATTTAGACAAAAAAGCCAGGCCCTTTTTTGCTATTTAAAAATATGCTGATACATAAATTGATATTAAATGATATTAAATACACACATATTATTTTAACAATGAAAATTATTTTCACAAAGAAAACATTTTATTCACGCAACAAAATATTTAGAAAATACAGCCAACCAGTCCTCAATGTTATTTAAGCTTTATGTGTCTAAGAAAATCAAATATATAAATAATATTAAAAAATCAAAAGATGCTCTAATTAAAACTGTCCTGTTTTATCACTAATAATATCTAATTAAGGAATTTAAACATCATTAAAGAGTTAAGATGTTCAAGTGGCAATGATATTTCCATTGCAATAACATTTCCATTCTAAAAAGATAATTTTATAATCTTGTTTCCAAAAATTAATGTTTAATATTTTGTATACTTACACCAAAATGCTTTAAAAAATAGTGACAAACAATCACAGCCATCAATGCATCCTTAGTATTGATCACACACTACATCCTATGGTCAGTATTGTATTAGATGATAAATACTTTTTGGACATCAGTAATGGCATGTCTGCTCATCTTTGCATCCTCCATGGTACCAAGCTCAAGTGTCTTTCACCTGATAGAAGCTCAATAAATATTTGTTACATTGATTTTACTCTTTATTTCCACCCAGGCAACCTCATTTCTCCTATGTCATTGTATCCAAGTTAAAACRACAGAACTGCTGTAATCCCAGCAAAATACACATTAACAAAATCTTTTGTCACTGAGAAAATAAAAACACTAAGTGTTAAGCGCCAATATAAAATAAATCAGTTGGTTATTATTCAAAATGTTTTCCTAAGAGGTTTTTTTGTTGTTGTTGATGAAGGCTTATTGTTTTTTTTTTTTTTTTTTCCCATGTTGCTCACACTACATGTGCCGTACCGTCATCTGGATTAAAAAAAAAAAATCAGGAAGCAAAAATATAAAAAGAATATAAAAAGCAGTGAGGAGAAGTTTGAGAAGGGTGGTTAGTCTCTCTAATGAGTAGAGGCTGAGAAAAGTTGGCATTTTTGGTGATTTCCAGGGAAGGGCTAGCTGCCGCACAATGGAGTGCTGCTAGTGTCCCTCAGCAATGGAAAAGGAAGATGAGTAGTATCTTTTGGAGCTTGGTGAAGTGAGCAAATTAAATACAAAGAATCACTTGAAAGGACATTGTTAACTGTCAGTTTTATTAATTCACTGAATAACAAAAATTAATTAAATCTCCAACTACTTTGAGGTCAGGCTGTGTGACTTAAAAAAATCTTCTAAGTTCACATAACCTGAATGTAGATGACAGAGAATCCTAGGCTACCGAACTGAGCCATGTGTGTATCAAGCAGAGACAAAGCTCGAAACACATGTGATGGGGTAGGGGAATCATGGGGTCTGAAAGTGGGATAGTCAATATGGCATGGTTTCAGTTCATTTCTCTCCCATGCATTAAATCCGTCACTTGCAAGATCTATCCTTAGGTTTGTAACATTTGCTCAATTTTGAGGCATAGTTTTAAAGCTCATGACTATAGGAGAAAGAATAACAACGGATAAAGGGGATGGTTCCCCCTACTTAAGATGGAACATTTGCCTCATAGCTTTAAAATATACATTAYTACCTGTCTTCTAGGCCACGTTAGCAGGTATAAAATGAAACATCAGGAAATTCAAATACTCAAATAAAATACACATTTAACCTGAAATATATACCTTGGATTTCTGGAGTCCTTTCCTCAGTTTTCTTCTCCATTTCAAGCAACACCATAKTATTAAATTTCTTCAAAGGCTCAAACAGAGCAAGCTGATTAGCTTGGATTAATACATTACTCTCTACTGAGTTTTTTAGGCATCACAAATCTCAACAAATTGCAGAGGCAGTGCAAAGGAATTATTAAGGCTGTTAGTTAAGAATGAAGCATCTCAAGTCTCAAAACCAGAGAATCTGGTCCGGAAAGCATCAGAGATGATTTAAGGACCAGTGGACTACGTTCAGAATGATAGTCATTTTATCATGACCTCTGGCTAAGCCCTTTGTAGTGTGGTTTATCTTTGGACTGACACCACTTTTCTGGACACTGGCCATCTCTCCTGTGACCTTCTCATAACCAAATTAAACTGTTATTTTAGTCTGTATTATGAAAGTGTGGTCAAGACAAGTTGAATTCAGTCTCTACTTGTTTGTAATTAGGAATTCTTTCTATCCTGTCAATTGTGATTTCCCCTTCCCCTCTTTTTTTTTTTTTTTTTTTTTTTTTTTTATCCCTTTCTCATCTCTTTGCTTGCTCCTATCCATAGGTGAGGGAGCTAGAAAAAAGAAATTCAAAAGGTGGGGATGAGATGTCATCAACAAAAATTGCATTTTTTTTTTCGGGGGGAGGAATGATGGTTGAGTGTGAGCGGTCTTTAGCTGGGATGTTAGGAGTTGGGGTGTCTGTTGGGGGGGTCTTCCTTTGGACTGCTTTGGAGAGAACTCAGTGCTATCCAAGGTGCTGAAGAGAGACCATTTCGGGGTTCTGGGATCCCCAGAGTTAAAACAAACTTGGTTTGTGTGGAGATATCTCTGCTCTAACCAGGGCCAGATAGTCGCGGGTCCCCAATGCTGAGAGCCAGAGCGAGACCTCAGTCAGCGTTCCTAGAACAACCAAGATACCTGGGTAGTCAAGGGTTYGCGCTTCCGCGACTCTGACCCGTGTGACCATGGGAGGTGTCCCGAGGCAGGCTCAAGGCTGTCAATGAACTGTCCCTGCGACTAGCTTCACTCACCAAGCGCAACACTTACCAGGAAGTTGATGTCGCCAGGGCGCACTAGGCGGTAGCTGCATGTCGCGCAGTCTTGGCTGCATTCTGCCTGCACAGTAGCCAGGATCCCAGGTCCGAGAGCCAGCAGCCAAGTGCAAAGTCTCAGGAACCGCGCCATGGACTGCGAGGAGAGAAGCACTCGCGCTCAGAGTCTGTCCTGGCGCAGAACAGATCCCTGGGAGAGACCCCTCTCTGAGACAACCCCAGGTGGGAGGGGGTCGTCTGAGCAAGAGCCCTTGGGGACACTTCTTCCTGGGATCCCCCTCCTCGCGCGCTGCACAATTGGGAGACCCAGGAATAGCTCAGATCGTTTTGCTCCCAGGTTGGTGCAGTCACCCCCAGCCAGAGGCACACTGCTGTCTTCCTGGGAGTCTCTTGCCCAGGGCAGGGTGATGGAGCAAACAACCGAGCACAAGTGCTATAGAGCAAGCTCTTGGGGAAGCACGATGTTGACTGGGGTCACAACGAAGAATCGGGAGAAAGGTGAGGGGAAGCATGCAATGAGAACAAGGGGACGTCCCCAAACCTGCAAGAACAAAGGTGAGTTTGGGGCAAATTCACTCACGTTGACGCTGTTCGGATGGAGCAGGTGGTTGGTAAAATCGGGTCCCAGACAGGATTCTGGAAGGAAGAGAAGAAGGCAAGTGTGAGGAAGGCGGCGTCGGGGGAGAAGCCGGCCAGGGTGCGCTGTCCGACGCGGGCCTCACCTCTGCGGTCCTCAGCGTCGCCGCGGGGCCGCGGGCTGGGCTGCGGGACTCTGAGCGCCTGCCTCACTGTCCCGAGGCTAGCGGCGGCTGAAGCCACTTTATAATTAGCCCCAAACCGAAGGAGGCGCGCGCGCCCCAATCGCCAGCGGGCTGCAGCTGACGCAGGCCCTACGCCAGCCCCGCGCCGACGCTTTCGCGGGAGGGGTCAGTCCCCAGCGCCTGCACACGGGGCTCCCAGGCCGAGGGTGGGGGTGGGAGTGGGGGTGCTTGGTGGCTCCTCTCACCGCYGGGTGACAAATCCAAGGCAATTAGGAAGTTTGGGGAGGGAGTGAGGCGGGGTCAACTTCACCGCATAAAGTCACTGAAATTGCACGGTGGGATGCCTGCTCCCGGAGGGAAACCTAGGTGGGGGCGTTGGTTGGGCAGATGGGACTTAGATTCTGGATATGCTGGACACCCTCTGAGATGGTGAATCTTCCCCTTTCTTCTTCCCACCTCCTCCCACGGTACCTGCGTGGCATTAAGCAGGGCCATCCGGAATGTCCTCATTTATTCACCCTCAAGGTCCCCACACTTGATTTTGAGTTCCTTGTTGCAGCGCTTAGTAGCTTCAGGCACGCATTAGGCGTGCAGTTCATGGTTACAGAAATGAATGATTGAAACTTTCAGGGGATCTTATTGCCCCTCTTCTGTTAGGGAGACCCCTGTTCAAAGAAGCAAGTACAACCTCAGGTTCTACAGGGTCTGCGCTCAGTTCTGGCACCGCCCCAGGGACCCGTCTTCCTTCAGCTCCCTAGACGGGGTCCCAAGTTGGGGACTCTCGCTGACTCCAGCGCTGCGTCTAGGGTGTCCTGTGGTGTTGGATGAGTTAGAGAAGGTGCCSAGGTGTTTGTGATGTCAGCGCGCCAGGACAGTGGTGTTCAGAAAGAAGGAGAGACTTAAGTGTTCAGCACGTGTACAAGTTTTCCGCAGGAATTGGGAAGAAAGCAGACAGTGGTGTCTGGGGCTTGTGATTGATCCGCTTCCCTACTTCCTGGGTCTGCAAAAGATCGCCAATAAGCAAACTCCTCACTAAATAGTCGAAGGCCTCAGTTTTCCCATTTGGAAAATAGGGACAGAGGTATTGCACCATTCACAGAGTCAAGGTGTTTAGAAGAGAATCAAACGGAATAATGGACAACGTCATTTATCCTTATGCTAGGTACATAGCAAACTCTCAACAAGTATTTTGAGCTTCCTGTCATCCCTATATCATTTGATCTATCTGTCCATCACTGATTTGTATCTATCTTGTGTTCATCCATCCACCTGTGTGTTTATCGATCTCGCTGGCCCTAGAGRATATCATAAACAGTTCTAGAGCCCATACATAGAGAAAAAGTCCAAGGGCGTTCTTGGCCAAGTATGTCCTCCGCCAAGAACTAACAGTGGCAAGGACCTGCATCCGCGCGACTCCTGCGGGGYTCCCGACGCGCTGCATCTCCCATTTTGGTCGCTAGAGGGCGGYGCTCTCCTGCGTAGGCTGGACACGCGGGGGACTCCGGTATTCTCCGTTCCCTGCGGGTCTCAAAGTGCCGACTGCAGACACGCCACCTGGAGTGGCCCCAGAGCRGCACCCGGGCACCACCTGCTCCTGGGCGGGGGCAGCCTAGTGGCTGCGCTCGAAAGCACAGCTTCGGTGTGGGGCGGGAGAACACCCAACACAGTTTTAAGAAGTCTGCTTTGCCCTCTTACTAGAAAAATACATTTCCACTTGGTCCTTTCAGGCTCTCCGGGTCAGGGGTCCTAACGGTATCCTTTCCTGTTCCATACCCTCTCCCCAGTGAAATAGAGAGCCTCTGACTTTACTTAAAAGAGATTTCCCCCCTGTTGCGCAGGTCCTGAAAAGGAAGTCAACTACATAGCAGCACAGTGCAAAAGGAGTGCACGGAAAACATCCTGCTTAAATCAAAGACAACTTGCTAGATCAGAGCACTTGTTTCCTGGGGTCACCCCAGAACCTTAAGCCTRTAATCAGGCAGAAGGCTGAGGTATGTGTGTGGAATTACAGTTTACACTGCTGGACAGGCAAAGACTTCTGAGGATCTTGGAAAAGTAGAAGTGAAAGTCTGAGAGGGTCCTTAAGGAGTCTTTCAAATCCTCATTCTGTAAATGGGAAAAACTGAGGCATAGAAAGTCGAAGTGACCAACCCAGGCAGTGGCGAACGAGGTTCCTCAGCCTCTTTTTTTTTTTTTTTTCTTTTTTTAAAGAGAGAGCGAGAGAGGGGAGAGAGAGAGAGAATTTTTAATATTTATTTTTTAGTTCTCGGCGGACACAACATCTTTGTTGGTATATGGTGCTGAGGATCGAACCCGGGCCGCACGCACGCTGGGCGAGCGCGCTACCGCTGAGCCACATCTCCAGCCCTCCTCAGCCTCTTTAGGGAGGTTTCTTATCTGGCACCTGCCTTGGGTTTAGTTTATTTCTAGACCTTTAAAAGTCTGCTCGGGGTTAGTTCCTTGGTGAAGCTGCATTTTTGCCTGCAGAACTTTAAATGTCCAGGTGTAGCGGGGTATATGCCCTCTAGAAGGAGAGCAGGGTTTATGTCCTCAGGACCTGTCCAGATGCTTGGGACACAGTCAGTGCACACCTAAAATCTGGGGCATTCTCTTCCCATCGGCCCTGGAAGCTAAAAATCATACATRTCTGTACTCATTTCCCTATATTAGAATGGTGGCAAACAATTGCAAGAAATCCATCTTTTCCCCATGATCTTTTAAATATTTATTGAGGACAAAGATTTTGCTGTTATGTTCTGGGRAAAAGCTGCTGCAGAAATCAGACTTGGAAAAAAAGGGAAGGGATCATTTTTTTTAAAGCATTTAATCCAGAGATTTCTGATTCTCAGATCAAGTTCAAGACCTTTGTCTTCTTCTTATCCAAGGATACCAAGCATTACCCCAAACAGATTCAACCCAGAGACCAGGAAATGTGACATTTAAAGCCCTGATGATTAGTGATATTTTACTGCATTCTTAGGTGTTTTGGTAGGAGGGATTTTACAAAGTCTTCCAGGTGTCCATTTCCATCATGTTCAGGATGGAAGATATCTAAACTGAATGATTCAGGTACCCATTCCCCCCTTGYCCTCCCTTCTGCCACCCAAACACACATATTTTATTGCACAGAACTATTTCTTTCTGTTCTTCTCTTTCCAAAGTAGCAGTAGTGGAAACAAGGCAGTTCTGCGCACTGGTAATTGTGTAATGCTTCAGCATAAAAGCACCATGTTCTAACATTTCAGATGTTTGGAGTCATGCCAGAGGCAGAGGAAACTTGCCTGTTTTCATTTAAAATCCAAAGTGCATGCTTTGCAAAATGGTATTCTGTGAGCTGGGCATGTTACTGTGAGGAATAACTGTTAAGGGATTCTTTTGAGACAGGCTCGGAACACTGGAGAGCAGAGCAGCTGTAAGTGGAGTCAGTTTGAACAAGATGTTTTTTATGGTAAGATAAATTCCCATTTTAAGAAAACCCTGTGCTGGTACATTCTCATTCTCAAAATCAAGGAGACAGAATAAAACCCTTGAAAGAAAAGGTAAAAGGCTAAGAAGTTGCATAAAACTGAGTTTAAATAATAGAAAATGTGTCAGTGTGTGTGTGTGTGTGTGTGTGTGTGTGTGTGTGAGAGAGAGAGAGAGAGAGAGAGAGAGAGAGAGAGAGAGAGAGAGAAGAAAATTAAACCAAGAACATCAAGCATACTGTTTTTATACAATAAACTTGAAGAGAAGAGAAACAAACTTCTTAAATATTTGGCCTTCATCATTCAGACAGGAAAAAGATCAATTTTAGTACTAAGCATATGTAATCAGATAATGAATAAAACAAGTCATATTGTGACTCATCAGATTCAAAGAAGGCCTAGCTGAAAATCCATTCAATACTGGGTTTCTTGAGGAGTTTGACTATTAGTAATAACCTTTGGAATTGTTTTAAGAATTTAATAGAGAAAAAGGTGAAGATTGTGTTAAAAAATTGTATTGCCTCATTGRATGTAAACATTTTTTTTTAACAATTTGATTTTGACTTGGTTTTGATTGATAGTTCCCCAAATTGAATTCCAGATGTTACCTAGGAGACCTGAATAGAAGGCCCTCAAAAATATTAATTAAACAAATGAATGAATGAAGACATCCACCGAAGAAACAATTTCCACAACTGAAACAGTGCTAGAAAACAAGTTCTAAAAAGGTTTTGAGCTTTAATAAATTGCTGGGGAACATGGTGCTAAATGAAATTTAGAAAGTTAAGGATTGAAATTTTATTTTATAGGTGGGAGCTAGAGAGAAAAAAAGCGGGGGGGGGAGGAAGAATCTTGTGAAAAATAGAATGGAGGCTAATAAAATAGAGGAAGAGAATCAAGAAAGAAGGAGAAGGGGAGAGCAAGGGAAGGTAATGGGGAAGRGAATCAACCAAATTTTGTTATGTGCATGTCTGAACGTCTCACAATGAATCTCACTTATACGTATAATTATGATGCAACAATTAAAAAAATAAATAGAAAGGAGACCAGAAGAGTAGAGGAAAAAAGATTAGGGAAGGGACCATGAGAGGAAAAGGGAAAATACTAAGAATGAAATTGAAAAAAAAAAGTTATTTTGTAGGCATGTATTAATATATCACAATGAATCCCATTATTATGTATAATTATAATGTGCTAATAAAACATAAAAAATAAATCTCTGGAATAAATATTAATGGTTTTTTGTCATCGGGTTCTTAAGGGAATTCTCTTGCATATGATCCACAACARAGAGGTTTGCGCATAGTAGTTCCTGAATAAAGTCACTTTATAAAAAAGTATCCCTGTTTATATAGTCAGATCTCTCCTAGCTCCTATATACCTGGAATGGACTGAAGAAGTTAAACATTTTCATAAAATTATATAGGGAGGGAGCTCAAATACCTGCGGAGTTAATTTGTAAAAAGTTTAACAAACTGAAAACCTAGCAACTCTTTTGAGATTCATCAGAAATTTGGGGTCACAGGGCAAACCAATGAACTTCCCCGCCCACCCTAAAAACTTGGAGAGAATAATAGATGAATGCAAAGAATCCAGC